TAATCTATTTTAAATTCTGTTATGCAACAGTAATGCTAGACTCAATGCTAATTACCGAGCCAATGATGGTTGCAGTTACCATTATAATTGATCAAGAAAGCAAGGACAAAAAAGCAGGCCCAGAAATCATATCAAAATCTTGGCCATGCATGATTCCACTCACCCTTTACGTGATCTCTGTAGAATACCATTCAATATTTTGAATCTTCCCCATTCAACATCACAAAAGGGAAGAGACATTTCTGAATAAAATTGACAGCAAGAAATCAACATAATTTTGAAACTGAATGGGCCCAATTTTGACAGATCAGAAGGCCTCAGATACAAACCATGCACCTACATATATCCACAAGCAGGAAGAATTTTTCAAACAACATGGTCGTCTTCACTCAGTAAAAAACTGAAAATTAACTTTTGCACAACGTTACAACAACTTTTTGCACAACACCCCACAAAAATCACACCAGATCTCCCACTGCCAGGGCACAGAGTGCATCACAGTAGGGAACTGAGAATTTAACAGAATTTGGAATTATAGGAAATGTAGCAATCTCTTTCTTAATTGACCATTACCAGAGAGCAAGACATTTGAGGCTATTAGCATTCTATATGTGTTTATAGGGAAGAAATTCTTAACCATGTGGTAAGTCAGCTTTTTGCTTAGTTTTCAGGAAAAATAGATGTTAACATTAAAAGACTTACTAGTGTGTTCTGCAATAAAGAATGTCCGCTGTAACGAGGTAAGCTTTATTAGTGCTGCGTAATAAGTACAGAAGACTATCTAATTCCTAGACGTTAACAATATAAGGGGCAAAAAGTACTCCTCATGCCATTCTGGGATAAATCTCACTTGCCCTGCGTATAAAGCAAGCAAATCTGGCTGCACATCAGACACTGATAAGTACATTTAACATACAGGACAAAAAGAAACAGACAGACTCCATAAGATAGAGAAATTATACACTCCACAAAAATTCTGGCCTACTTTAAGGGATTAAGTTACCAAAAGTGTTTCAAGGAGGGATCTGAGCATGGAAGAAGCAGCCACTCAGTGCACAGGAAAGAGAAAGTTCCCAGTGTAGGAGGTAGTATGGCAGGAGGCACGTAAAATAACACGAAACTTCACTTAATCTCTAGCATTAAAGTATTTAGAATTTGAAAATATTTCAGAGATGAATAATTCTTATAAAATAACAAACTTTGGCCTATAAGATAAGCCCTCTGCACAAGTCAGGCAAAAAGCAGTCATTCCCATTCCCAGTATCCATTGGACGACAGGACCAAATGCACCCTCGGCAACTTTGCTGATGATCCTAAACTGGGGGGAGTGGCCGAGAGACCAGAAGGCTGTGCTGCCCTTCGGAGGGACGTGGACAGGCTGGAGAGTTGGGTGGAGAGGAACGGCAGGAAGTTCAGCAAAGGCAAGTGCAGGGTCCTGCACCTAGGCAGGAATAACCCCATGCAGCAGGACAGGCCGGGGGTTGACCTGCTGGGAAGCAGCTCTGCAGAGAAGGACCTGGGAGTGCTGGTGGACAGCAAGTTAAGCATGAGGCAGCAATGTGCCCTTGTGGCCAAGAAGGCCAAGGGTCTCCTGGGGTGCCTTAGGCAGAGTGTTGCCAGCAGGTGGAGGGAGGGGATCCTGCCCCTCTACTCAGCCCTGGGGAGGCCTCACCGGGAGTACTGTGTCCAGTGCTGGGCTCCGCAGTACGAGACAGATGTGAAGCTACTAGAGTGAGTCCAGTGGAGGGCTACGAAGATGAAGGGATTGGAGTATCTCTCCTATGAAGGAAGGCTGCGAGAGCTGGTCCTGTTGAGCCTGGAGAAGAGAAGACTTGGGGTGGGGTGGGGTGGGGGGGCAATCTTATCAATGTGTGTAAGTATCTGAAGGAAGGGTGTCAAGAGGGTGGGGCCAGACTCTTCTCCGTGGTGCCCAGCGACAGGACAAGAGGCAACGGGCACAAACTGGAACACAAAAAGCTCCATCTGAACGTGAGGACAAACAACTTTCCTGTGAGGGTGAGTGAGCAGTGGAAGAGGTTGCCCAGAGAGTTTGTGAAGTCTCCATCCTTGGAGATATTCCAAAGTCATCTGGATAGAGTTCTAGGCAACGTGCTTTAGGAGAAGGAATTGGAGCAGATGATCTCCAGACTGGACTAGATCTCCCTTCCAACCTCAACTATTCTTGCTTCTGCAATTCCTAAAGCAGAAAAATGTGTTAGAACAACTGTGAGGTGACTATATGGTGCTTTTTCAATATTAACTTTAATCGTTAATCATTATTTTAGCACCATAGTTTCCAAGAAAAAGGTTAGTTGGGCCCCTTCCACAGGCAACTGAAAGCAGAGGAATTCTCAGGAGAAAAAAAATCAACTGAGATCAGGCCTTGCCAGATCTTTGTCCTGCATCATTTTAAGCAAAATTCAACTAGTTATAGGTCAAAAGAAAGTTAACAATAATAATTAAAAATTCTCCAATCCCTAACCCCTAAATATATACATAGAGGAAAGTAAAACATTACCATATCATATCTCACATATATTTTTTCAAAAAACCTGAATTGAACCTAAACCAAAGATGAGCCAACAGTTGCTTACCACAAGACCAGCTTCCTTCATCTTGTCTTCCTCATTACTCCCTATCAAGTAGTTTTACATTTCAGAGATGACTAGTAGATAAGAAAAACACGGCACAGGGACTTCAAATGGAACACAAACTTAATTGGGACTATAGTTTTTCACCGTAAACATAAGCAAAAGTTTTATCTTTACACTGGTACATCAAGTCTTTATAAATAATTTTCACTAAATAGAAGTAACTTTCAAATTAAATCTACTGGTGTATTGGAGAGGGAAAAAAAAAAGCTGTAAAGTTATCCATCTTTTGAGATTTTCCCATTAGAAACTTAGCACACTCTTACCATGGGTAAATACTGCAATAAAGATATTTTGGCAGCAATCCTAAACCTCCTGAACCTCTTGGCATTTGGCATATTTTGAAGTGGGGTAAAATAAATTTCATGGTCTTTTGATTATCCACACACTCCATTAGGTTCCAGAGATTTAGTAAGTACCACAAAAATGATGATACATCAACATTTGGCTTTTTTTCTTCCCCAACCATGAACCAGGCTACAAAATTAACAGGCCTTTTTAAAGAATACTCATACAGCAATGATCTCCTATAGCGAGCACTTCTTTTATATTCTCTGTTTCCTTGGAACTCTCTCAAACAGCTTGCCCGCAATTTTTCCTAGGAAAACAGCACATCCCAAGTAAAGAAAAGCAAACAAAGCAACAGACAATGATCACCGGGGATTTATCCTCCTGCACACACCAAATTCACAGAAGAAGTCTTACTGATGAGGCTGATCACCCATGGAAATTCCCACAGCATGACATTCTGACACGGGGTGGGGGAGTAGGGGGAAATCTGCAAAGGGATTCTCAGATTTCTAATCTACCCACAAATTTTGTAGTAGCATAACTATTCTGGTTAGGATTAAAGGTTTTTTATTACAATATGGTTGCACCCAAACGAGGCCTCCTATGAACATCATTTACTAAGACGAATGCGTCTCATAACGTTTATCCAACTTTCCACCTACAGTGTGGCTAACTCATGCTGGTATAATAAAAGTGGAACAACTTTTACTGCTTGCATAAATTCTAGTTGTGTTTTCCCAGATTTATGCATCCCGGACACTCTCTTCCAACACTGCTGCCTAGGACTCAAGCTATTTTAAATGAATTCCTCAAGAACCTGGAAGACATTTAGGTTATTAACCTGTGATGAACTCTGATCTGTAGAAGCTAAATTGCCACCAACACCCAAAAGAGACAGCTGAAAGGCAGATCACATACGTCTACACAATGGTCAATGTGCTGCAGAGATGTATGTCGAGAGCCACTTTCTTCACAGTCTGGATGCAACATGAAAGTATCCTTACAAAAGCTGCAAAATCCTTTATTTGACAGCCTTTCCTGGGAAACTGAAAACAACTCTTAATGTTCAAGCAGAACTTAATTTCATACTCCAGCTGTATTCTCTCACAGTGATTTTAGTAACGAATGGATAAATAAATAAATTCAAATACATTTGGGTAAAGCTTTAATCTGTTTCGGTAACAGCATCACGCAGCTCACTGGACAGACTTCCTTTCCGCATTCCTCTCTCTATAAGCGACCAAAAGACCTTGCCCGCGCCCCGCCGCCGCCACCGCGGGGCCG